TGCATTTGGAAATGTTGTTGGTTTTGATATTCTGTTTGAACTACTAGGAATATTATTTAATATTTGCCTAAAAGTGAGCTATTCTGAACTGTACACCTTCCATATTAGTCATTGGCAGATCCTGGTTTTGCATTCAATGGGATCATTTCTGACATGGGGAAAAGCACTTCATACAGTCCTTTTATCTTACTGACAGATGTTCCACAAACTGCCCACTTCTCCCTGAATCCTTTTCAGTTTGCTGTGTGAGAAAGATCACTGTATGTACATAGGTTTTATACACCTATAACTTATCCCTGTACTCATCTCCACAATACCTTCATTTTATTGTAAATATTTCTGTTTTTGCATTAGCTTAAATATGCAAAAAGACTCCCCATGGTTCTCTACCATGAAACCCTTCCCTTTTACACTCACCTGCTATGCACTTCTCCTTACTCTTCTAGTCTTATTTATAAGAAAAAGCCTTTGTAGCTCATTTCCTTATGTACATTTGTACGTGGTATTGGTTACTTGTGTTGTACTGTACATAAAAAGAAAATATCAGTGTTCAAAGGTCTTCCTCATTTTTCACATTTTCATCAGCCTAGAATTCTAGCTTATCAAATGGTATTACCATTGCAGACTTGGCACCTTCTTCTTCAAGTTTCTCTTTAGAAATACCCTACTAACCAGCTCCAAATTATATCAAGTCAACAACAGGAATAATCCACCACAAATCTCTGTTTATTATAGTCTGAAATTGTCTCTCAGCAGTTCAATGAATTGTTCTTTTCAAGGTTGTCTGCAGCTTCCTTCTTCCCAAATGCAATCTGGTTTCTTATTTGGCTTGTGTGAAGCATTAGGCCATTGATATCACCATTCACAGTGAAAACTGTGGCTACCTTGCCTGTTCTTCACATAAATATCTGCATTTTCACTTCTTTCTCTTAATCTTTATGTAGTAACTAGGCTTTTTTTAGTTATGCTTAAAGTAATAACCTTAGGTTCATATACCAATTCATATTATGCACATACTTGTTAGAGATTTTCATATACCACAAAGTGACAACAGTTACTTATTTCTTGGTAAAGCAAAAGTATGGATTTCTATACTAAATGTCTTACTCCAAAACCAAGCTCACATATCCAATCGCTGACATGTAATTTTCAATTTTCACATTCCACTGGCACCTATATTTAACTAATATAAATTCAAAGAAGTGTTAAGTTAATAATATTCCTACCCCAATATTATACATTGGAATGCACAGAGAAAATTCTGCTAAGCCTGGTTGTAACCTCTGGAATATATCTATTTCTGTGAAGAAAATTCAATAGTTGAATGTGACTTATCATTTAACATGGAACAACCAATCAATAAAAACACCTAATGAAAGGTTAGACTTCTTCAACAAATGATTAAAATGTTTGCTTCACTAAATCCTCTTTGCCTACTTAGCTACCTTTGAATGCTTACTCTATAAATACCACTCTTTAAAAGTTCCATAGGTGAATCTGATATATCTTGAGGCAAGCTGTGTGTATGGCACAAGTTCTTAACTTTTCCTGGCTATTTAAATATATTTCATAGATGACTTGGCACTATTCAATGGTTTTGTGAATTACAAAACACTATACAATTGAGCTAGAAACATAATGATGTTCTATAAACATGATGAATTATGCTATGGTTGATCTATTGGGACCTAATTTTTAAAATAAGCAAAATAACACATTACATCATAGATCAGTATACTGATCCCAGGTGTAATCAAATGTTAGAAAACACTAAGACTGTTTTCTTTAGAATATGAGAAATATCACCAGACAGAAAATGTATGTTGACTAATTTCTTATATCATTTAATATGTACAGCAAATATACTTCACAAACTGAACATGTGATACAGAAGTTCAGCTAAGTGCATGTCCAAATAAAATACTACATTTATCTTTTCACAGAAAATGTATGATTGTGATTGGGGTGACATGGAAGTCATAACAGATATTAACCAAACTAAGTGGTTGAGGAAAAGGTACAAGGGAATATGAACACGAGGGACACTGCTTAACTACAGGAAGTATTCTCTTTAGGTTCCACATCCCCACTATTACATTTCTTAGCTAAGGTCAGTTTCATTGATTCTTTGGAACATCCCCCATCCCAGGACTCTGGTAAATTACCACCCCTTACGTCTGATCATAACTCTCCCCCAACCTCCTCTCCATCCCCTCTCCCACCCTGTTCCCTTCCTCCATTTGCCTCCTATGACTATTTGGGTCCCCCTTCTAAGTGAGATTTAAACATCCTTACTAGAGCTATCCTTCTGGTTTAGCTTCTTAGGGTCTATGGAGTATATCTTAGTATCCTGTAATTTATGGCTAATATCCAGGTATAACTGAGTAGATATCACGCATGTCATTTTGGATCTGAGTTATCTTTCTTAAGATTATATTTTCTAGTTCCATGCATTTGCCTACAGAATTCATGATTTCCTCACTTTTAATAGCTGAAAAGTACTCCATTGTGTAGATGTGCCACATTTTCTGTATCAGTTCTACAGTTGAGGGACATCTGGGTTGTTTCCAGTTTTTGAATATTATCAGTGAAACTGCAATGAATATAGTGGAGCATGTGTCCTTGTGGTATGGTGGAGTATCTTTTATGTATATGCCCAGGAGTGGTATAGCTGTGCCTTCAGGTAGAATTATTTCCAATATTCTGAGAAACTGCCACATTGATTTTGAGTAGCTGTATAAGTTTGTACTCTCACACGCAATGGAAGAGTGTTGCCCTTTCTCTATATCTTCCCCAGCATGTGCCGTCACTTGTGTTTCTTATCTTAGCCATTCTGATGGGTGGAAGATGGAATCTCATGGCCATTTTGACTTTATTTCCCTTATGATTATGGAGATGGAACATTTGTTTAAGTGCTTCTAAACAATCCTCATTTGAGAACTCTCTGTTTAGCTCTGAAGCCCATTTTTAATGGGGTTATTTTGTTTTTTGAAGTCTAACTGGTAGAGTTCTTTATCTTTTATGGATATTAGCCCTCTGTCAGATGAAGAGTTCGTTTTGAAAGGAAATCCATAAAATCCCTCTTGTCTCTGATCCCTATGTGCTAGGATTAAACAGATATAGTTACATACTGATTTTGTTTTTAATTTGAGTGCTGAGAATTCAAACTATGATCCCCATTCTTGGGCAACAGAACATTGTCCACTGATTGCAGGGAATGATGCACATGTGGGCGTGGGCGTGGGTTCTTGAATCTTCTAGTGCTGTTGTGATTCCCACTGCTCCAAAGAGACTGGAGTGCGGGAATCTTCACTGAGTTCACTCTGCACATGGCACTGGGTGGGTGCTACAGAGCCCTGCCTGGAGGGAGGGAGTTCTCACTCAGTCTGAAGTTCCACAGAAGTGCAGAGCTCTTGGACTGGGGATCCCTGGGCCGGAGGTGGATGGGGACCAACTAGTCTCAAGCCCTTGGACTCTCAGACTCCACTGAAAGGCTGCAGAAGGACGGAGAGTGGGGGCATGTGGGCGCATGACCAGCCAGTCGAAAGAAATGGTGGGGGTTGGGGGGAGAAAAAAGAGGCCCTGGCAGCAGCGACAGGAGAGACTCGGTTACTGTACTTACTGAGCAGACTCAGCGGCCTGGCTAGCTTGCTTGAAGAGGTGGTCCTCATGGCTAAAACACAGATAGGTCCTCCAGGCGGGAAGTTAGGTATGGTGGCTGTGGCTACAAAGGCTCATTAAAGGCAGACTCACGTTTTCCCAAGGCAGACCCAAAAGACATGAGGAAGTCTGGGGTTCTAAAAGCCTTTATTTTCATGGCGGAATGTAGATGGTCTGGTGGTACCCCTGTGAAACTCAGGGCAGACTTGAGTTAAATAAGGAGAGAGAAGGGGGGAGGCTCTTGGAAAGATTGCTTAATTGGCTATGCCCTCTGGCCTTCAGGTAACTCATTAGTATGTAAATCTCTTGAGGCTGAGGCCTGTAATCACACCCTCTAGGGAGGGTCTCTATTGCCCTACATGACTGAAAATCAAGGGTTAATAGAGTGTCAGGAGCCTGGGGTCTTTGAGGGCATGGCCAAACACCTGCTGTTGTCCCACTAGGGTCCAGGGTTCCAGGCATGTGCCCAAATAGAATCCAAGCTATCCTTTCACGGCCCCACAACTGATATGTATCTATATCTCTGGTTCCATAACAATTAAACTTCAGTGCTTTCTTTGGTGTATTCATTTTGTTTATTTAAAAGGGAAGAATATCATTCCTAATAACTTCACAAATAATTATTAGACAACTACCTGAAACCATCCAAAACCAATCCTTGAAGTGCTAACATGATAATTAAACAAAGAGTCAGAAAAAATTTAAAAACTCTTATTACATTACTATTTCCAGATTATCTTATATTGTTGAAATATAAATTGAAAGATATTGATCTATTACAATCCAAGCTGAAGAGTTCAACACTGTACAGATTTCAGAAATAGATTTAATTCCATACACTATATTCATGGATATGAAAAAATATACACAGATATATGTAATTTTGTGTATAAATGATGTATATATAAGATTAGTGATGAAGATGTGCTCCATAATTAGGATAAAGTTTGACACAGATGTATGTAGATCACAAAAAAAAACTCTTGTAGATCATGTGCCAGGCTCTAAGTTTCAACATGGGCTACACACAAACACACCAACATACATACACACATCACAAAAGTACACATATTCACATACATATGTACATATATATACAAAGATATGCACATTTACACATAAAAACACAAGCAAGCACACAAATATACACATATATTTATACAAATACACAATCATGCATATACAGATGCAAAACATATATTCATACATACACATATACACGAAGGTGTGACATTACAATGAATCAAGGAGCTCTGCATGAATATTGAAGCTGGCACTCAGATTTTCTCTTCAGTAAGACAAAACTGAATGCCTTCTGAATATTACCCAGATATTTTGAATTAGTGGACGATCAAAGACAATTTATCAGTGATTCTCTTTAGGGAGCTTTTTACCTCCTGATTTCTCAAGCTGTAGATCAGTGGATTTAACATGGGAATTACTACCACATAAAACACAGAAGCAAATTTATCTGATTTCAGAGAATGGCTTGATTTGGGTTGCAGGTACATAAAGATGATTGTCCCGTAAAATATGGTGATTGACATCAGGTGGGATGCACAAGTGGAAAAGGCTTTCCTTCTTCCTTCAGCAGAATGAATCCTCAGAATGGCAAAGACAATAAAGACATAAGAAATAACCACAATTACCAGAGAGCAAAGGGTGTTGAAGCCAGCAATGATTAGCAACATCAGCTCTTTGACATGAGTGTCAGAACAAGCCAGAGCAACTAAGGGAACATCATCACAGTAGAAGTGGTTGACTACATTAGCGCCACAGAAAGACAAGTGGAAGGTTGCCACTGCCTGAACAAGCCCCACAGTGAATCCATAGATGTATGTGCTGGCGATGACCTGAAGACAGAGCTTCCTAGGCATGAGGACTGCATAGAGGAGAGGGTTCCAGATGGCCACATACCTGTCATAGGCCATGA